TCCTGCTGAGTGGAAATAAGTGTACTTTCTTAATACCAGAAGACTCCCCACCCCCAATACCTTTGGAAGTCCCCGTGTCCAAGGCTACAGAACCCATATCTTTCCGAAGGTGTTCTAGTTGCTCTTTCTGCTGTTGACTCTGAGCACTGGCCTGTATACAAAGAGGAAAATGTCAGCATATTCGAAAAGGAGCCCCGAGTTAGATGCTAGACCTCTAACTGGAGATATGGAATTAAACAAATATTAAAAGCTACTTAAGTCTAAGGTAGATAAGTATGGCTGATAAGGTGAGAAACACTGTGCCCAGATTATAGCAGAAATTGTCTGGAGGGCTCTGTGAATTTAATGAAAGGATTCAGAAACTGGATGCAAAACATCAAAAGAACCCTCCAGGCCAGCCCTGTAGCCTAGGGTTAATGAACTGGGATCCCACATGGCCAACCACAGTTGAAATCATAGTTCCAGCAGCTGAAAACACTGGGTGCATGTGTGTGGTGCCCCAAATCCTGACATAATGGAGAGCTGGAGGAAAAGGGACTACAGTGTTACCACGCCCCACTGGGGAGTGCATGCTCCCTCTCCCTCTCTCTCTGGCAAGTACATGGGCCCTGTGAGAATGAAATGAAAAAAATCCAACAATAAACCCTCAAATGGACATAGCAACATAGCGAGAGGGCCTAGTAATAAAGGACCCCTATGAAGTCTACAGGAACAGGACATTTGGTCATTTAACGTAAGAGCTGTAAACCACCTCTCTACTCTTTTTTTTTTTTTTTTTGGAGAGGTTTTCGCCATAGGGCGCGTGCGCTCGCCAGACAGACAGAGACAGAGAGAGAGACGGAAAGCGAGAAATCACCCCCCAGGGGGGATGGTCACGCCGCAATCCCTTCTCCTCCATTCTCCTCTCGGGAACTTGGGCACGCACGCACACACGTCCGGTGTGAGTTTTAAGCCACCAGGTCCGGGACACGAACCGTGGTCAACTATGTGGGAGTCCAGCGACATAGCCATTATGCTAAGTGCTGGTTCCCCACCTCTCTATTCTTAAACAAAATTCCATACCTGGCTTTTAAATTAGCCTTGGAGGGTCAGCAGGTGGCACAGTGGCTGAGGTGCTGGACTCCCACATGGCTGACTGTGGTTCAAGTTCTGGACCTGGAGGCTTGAAAATCACATCAGGCACATGTGCCCAAAATCCCAGGAGGAGAATAGAGAAAGGACTGTGATGTGTTCATTGCCCTGGGGGGTGATTTCTCACTTTCTTTCTCACTGTCTCTGTCTCACTCTCATGACCTCACATGCCCTATGGCAAAAACCTGGGGGGGAAATTGACTTGGAGAGGGCATAAGAAGGACTCAGCATATACAACAAGAAAAAATACCTCATGTTTGAAAAGTCAAATACAAAGAGAAAAAAAAGGGGGGGAGGGTCTTTCAATGCCCAAATATACCTATATATTTACAAATTTAAATTATTTAAAAACAATTTTAGTAGTCGATTTTACCTCAGTAAAACTGAAAAAATTAAAATATAAACTAAAGATATGCGGATAGCCTACACAAGACTATTTATGTTACCATAACTGAGGATGTTATTTTAAATGGCCCTAAAGTATACAAACAGCCTCCTTACTTACCAGTGATTTCTTCAGACGTTCATATTCAGGGCGATACTCCCTGGAAAGAAAAACATATACTAAATTCTTTTGCTTAATAATCTATTCTGCCTAGCTCCCATCCCTATCACTTGTGTTCCCAAGACCTACAATAACAAAAGATCTTACTTCACTGAACAGATTTACCAAGCCTTAATCACTGAGTCTACCCGTATGGAACTAAAAAACAAGGTAGCTGCCTCTACCCCAAAACCAGGAAAGAGACAAAATCCTGACTGATTAACACTAGAGAGGCCATAACTGATGAACTCATCCTTCGTGAGAACATGTGAGATGAGTGAAAGAAGGGAACACCTGTTGAGCTCGGTAAGTCCAATATATAATTACAGGTTTACCTGAGCAACAACTGTGAGAGGACACAGAAAAGACTACCCCAGGCTTTGGTAACACAAAAACTCCCCTGTGTGATGAGTCAAAATCAAAATACTGTGTCTGGAAACCACAACGTTGTTAGGATTTTGCAAAATATGAAGGCACAGGAGCATGCTAATAAGCAGCCTCTCAGGTCATGGGCCTATGGAAAGTACACAGGTGTTCGACTTCCACTCCTTCAAGTAAATGGGCTTCTAGTAGGAACAATGACACAGTCATAACCACTGCTGTCACAGAATGTGCTTAATGTGTCAGCAATTGCACTAAGTGCTTTACACATATTCTCTCAAACAATCCTCACAACGACCTTAGGACCAGATCCAGCCCATTGCCTGTTTTTATAAATAACATTTTATTAGAGCACAGCCATGCCGCCTATTTACCTCCAAACTGTCTATGGATGCTTTTGTCTGACGATGACTGAGGTGAGTAGTTCTGACAACTCATATGGCCTCCAAAGCCTAAAATATTTACATCTAACTCTTTACAGAAAGTGTGATGACTCCTTCTTAATCATCCAATAGAGGCATGGCATGGTGATTAAGGCACTAGACTCCCACATGGCCAACCATCGTTCAAGTCCTGGACCCAGTGGCTTGAAAACCATGCTGGATACATGTATATGTGTGCCCAGAATCACTAGAGAAGAATGAAGAAGAAGGGATTGCGGCATAGCTCTACTCTATGGGGGTAATTTCTCACTTTCCTTCTCTTTGTCTCTCTCTCCAGTGAGCACTTGCACCCTATGTCAAAAGGAAAAAAAAAAAAAGAATCATTCAATACATTTTTTGAAAACTTTTCCAGAGGTACATGTGCTTGTCAGAGAGACAGACAGGTGTGGAATTTTATCTTTGTGACATCATGTCAGTGCTCAAAAAGTTACAGATTTCATATTTTTAAATTAGGTATGTTCAACCCAGACTTGAATCTTTTTTTTTTTTTTAAGAGAGCTTTTTGCTATAAGGCATATGTGCTCACTGAAGAGACAAAGATAGACGTTGAGACAGAGAGTGAGAAATCACTGCCATCTCCCTCCCTGAAGGGATAGTCACTCGGCAATCCCTTCTCCTCCACTCTCCCCTCAGGATCTTGGGCATGCATGCACAAGCACCTGACCTCAGTTTTAAGCCATCAGGTCTGGGACTCAAAGCGTGGTCGACTACATGAGAATCTAGCAACATAACTGCTATACCACCTGCACTTTAATTTTTTCTTTTTCTTCTTTTCTTTTTTTGGAGAAGTTTTTGCTATAGGGCACATGCACTTGCTAGAAAGACAGAAAAGGACAGAAAGCAAGAAATCACCCACCACCCCCCGGGGGGGGGGGGGAGGACTCGACGGGGGGGGGGATAGCCTCGCCGCAATCCCTTCTCCATTCTCTTCTCGGGATCTTCGGCACACAGGCACACGCACCTGGCATGAGTTTAAGCCACTGGGTCTGGGACTCGAACTGTAGTCGACTACATGGGAGTCCAGCGACACAGCCATCCATTATGCTAACTGCTGATCCCTGTACTTTAATTTTTTTTAAAAAGCTAATGGGGACTTGTTAACCATACAATGTAGTCAGACCCAGTACACTTACTAAAGCAAATGTAATACACAATGAAACCCTAAATGCTTTGCCTGGAAAACTGCTATCCTATCAGAATTAGGTTATTAAGAACGTTATCAGTAGAATTTCTCTTTATCCTCACCTTTCATATTCTTCTGCAGCACTGATGACTTGCACAAAGAGTTCATCTAAGCCGGTACCCAGAACGGCAGACACACCCACCACCTGCCAAAAAGCAAGGAAAGCGCTACATAGAAAGCCACTGTGTGTTTTTCAATGGTGTACATTCTTTTGGTGTACCATCATCATAAAATCTTCAAAAAGGAGGTTTAGACACTTCGAGAAATCTCTGCCAAAAAGCCAAGCTAACAAAAAAACAAAACATGTCAAAAGTCATGGAAATAAGTCTACAAAAAAATAAAGAATTAACTGAATAAGAAAGATATAAATAGGACCAAATAAATAGCAGGACCTATCATCTAGTCTCTAATAAACCAAAGCACTTTCTGTTCTCTTGGTGCCTTTTGCTTAGGCAATTAACATACTCCTTGCAACCTACACCTGATTTGGTTCAAACTTTCCTTCAAAGTATGCCTCTAATGTTAAAACCTCGAAAATCCCTTATTTTCATCTGCCCCCTCACAGCTATCAGGCCCAACTTCTAATCTTACTTAAGATGCCACAAGGTAGTGTATGTTTACCCTGAGTGAGCTGTAAAACTCATCTAACACCAGGCTCATGGAACGGGTCAGGTTACTGACGTATGTGGTCTCTTGATTCAAGGCATCTTGGAAGGCCTCAAAATCCTGCATCCATTCCACTGCAAAGCTGTGATCAATGATGTCAGTCTGTACCAGAGAGAAGTCAACTGTCAGCAACCAGATGATGAGGCTAGATACTAGACAATGGCAAAAAATTATCCTTCTAAAAAAATTAAGTGGTAACGACAAAGAGAACAGCATATAATTTCTTTCCCTGCTTCCTCCACTTCCTCCTCCCTCACCACAAGCCACAAAGAGACAAGATTCATGCGTGTGTATAATTAAATGAAGAGAATCTTCTTAGTTGAAGCAGAGCCTTCACCACCCACTGCCAAATAACCAAGGCCACTGTGGATGCCAACACATCACAGGCTTTCAAGTCAAGCAGTATCCTGCACCCTACCTATCAACCAACAAGGAAGTTTGGTTTGGTTCGGTTTTAGACAGAGTCTAACTATGTTGCAATCCTACCTCAGCCTCTCAAAAGGCTGACATGACAGATGGGTGCCATGTTTTTGTTTTTCTTTTTAAATTGCCACTTTCAACAGGCTGGTTGTCCCTCCCCTATTTATACAGTCCTAATTCTGAGAGATAACCTCTCTGTGGTGAAGGTTACTCTATTTAGTTTAAATAACTTTGAATGAATATGATATTCAATTTGATTGAATCCACTGCATGACATGCCTATGACTTTGTTTCAGTAAAGCTTAATTGTTCTCCAGCCATCTGAAAATCCATCTCCTCCATCTAAACCTTCCAACAAGGTTCTGATGAAAAAGAAATGTTGATTTACACCAGAATAGATCCACTCACTTTGTTCATGACCACAATAAAAGGCAGCTTGGTCTTGTACAAGATGCTGAAAATCAAATAACAAGATATTATTAGAAAATGCACTTAAACTCTTGCCTGGTGCCTATCTGCTGGGGTTAATAGGAGGAGGATGAGTCTAGACTTTACAGATCAATCATCTATCTTTCAAAAGGTACATGTGGACTTTTGACTGCATGGGAGGTTGTTGTCCCTAACCCCTGTTGTTCATGGGTCAACTGTATATATTGGGTTGTTGGAAAGTCCTAACACATTTTTTTTGCTTTTCTATACAAAAATGGATCATGACTTTTCCAACAACCCAATATTTAAGATGTACAATGTGGTATTTTGATACATGTAGTACATTGTGAAATGATTACCACAATCAGGCTAATCATATAACTGTCTTTTAAACAATATGAAAATAAAGTAATGCCATGAATCATTGGATGTCCATTTGGATCAGGGATTTCTATTTGGATCCTGCATCCAACAAAGGGCATCCCTAGTCAAGAGAGACTGATGTTTGGTGAGGACTTTTGTGTATCCCCAAACTAAATTCTCTCAGTTTTAATAATGGTCTGCCTTGCTCCTCAGTCTTAATGCAGTAGCATATTCTAAGGGGGTCTGTCCTTCCTTTCCTAATGGCACCACTTTTGGGGCAAACCGGTGCATTTTAAAATGATGGCTATATCACTTTATTCATAGTATCTCCCCATATTATAATTTCACCCTACCTATCATATAACACATAAAAGCAGTATGCAGATCAGAGGGTTCTATTCTATTTAGCCTTGGGTTCAACTGGGAACAAAACCCAGAAGATTCCTATTTCTCTTACCAGTATCTCTGTACCAAGCAAGGGAGGAGGATCAGAAGGTGGTAAGAGAGAATGCCAATAGCACATGGGCCTCTTTTCTCCTCTGACCCTCCCTAATCCATAGCCACTGAAGAGTCAGCAGAAAGGACTCAGAAGCAAAAGGGAAGAAGAGAGAAGAAGGCCTCCTACTTTGATGGGATACCATGTCCACCAATAATCAGTTACCTGCAGGCATAGAGCATATTGGACATGAACGTCACTGGGTTGGTACTTCGTGATGTGTCCATTACATAGATGACAACCGTTGGAAATGAGGATGCCTAAAGAATCAAAGTCTGTGTCAGAGGGCACATGACCTGTCCCAAACTCTTTTCCTACCATCTTTAATAATGGAAAACCACTTCAGACAGGGTATGTGCAGAGCTTCTACAACTCCCTCTCATACAGAATCTCAGACATAAAAGATGCGAATCCAGTCTAGCCAGCTACTGTAACCCAGCTACCTAGTGTAAGAAACAAGTCCTAGAATACTCACCAAAGCCTCAGTGATGATTGTCCCAGAAGCTGACCAGGTAAACACCTCAATCTGTCCAGGTGTGTCAATCAAGACATATCTGTGCCAAGAAAGACCATTAGCAGAAGTGTTATACTTGCTGAAAGATATTCCATCACATATAACACTAAATATCTGGTTATCTTATAAGATTAGAATAATCATGGTCTTGGGACCAGCAGTTGGCGTAATGGCTATGTCGCTGGACTCCCATGTAGTCGACCGCGGTTCACATCCCCGACCCAGTGGCTTAAACTCACACCGGGCGTATGTGCGTGCATGCCCAAGATCCCAAGAGGAGAATGGAGGGGAAGGGATTGTGGCGTGGCCATCCCCCTGGGGGGGGTGATTTCTTGCTTTCTGTCTCTCTGTGTCTCTCTGTCTTTTTGGCGAACACAAGCGCCCTATAGAAAAAAACCTCTCCAAAAAAAGAAAAAAAGAATAATCTTGGTCTTTTGCCAAGTCTAACTTCATCCTATTGCCCTTAAACTTCAGACCATGTTCTCCCAGACTTTTTTAAAGAATTATTTAATTTTATTTATTTATTACTATTATTCAATTTAACAAGAGAATATAGAAAGACAGGGAATGAGAAAGCAAGTTGTCAGGTCCAGGACTCGAACCACAGCCAGCTACGTGGGAGTCCAGCACCCTAACCACACCACCTGCCAGACCCTCTCCCAGACTTTGTTCATGCTAATGGGCAGGAGCACAGACCATGAATTGCCGCAAATGATTATAGGGAAAACTGTGACAGTTACAGAAACACATTGCATCACAGAAGAGAAAGAAGGAAAACCAGATTGTAAATCTACTGTGAAACCATCTGGTAACTCAGGAATAAGGAGGTGCAGGATGGGCGCACAGGAGGAAGAGAGGAGGGAGGAATGGAGGACTAGGGGAATACAAGCTAAAGTATACCTCTTGAGGTGCCAACAGTGTTCTAAAATTATTCATGGTGATGGTTGCACAATTCTGTGAATATACTACAAGTTATCAAACTGTAAACTTTAAATGGATGAATAGTATGGTTTCTCTTGGAGATGCTGAAAATGTGCTGAAATTAGACAGTCGTGATCAATGCACAGCTTTGCAAATGTAGCATTTTGTTGTCGGAAAAGTCATGAAGCATTTCTGCACAGGAAACCAGTAAAATACGTTGTGACTTTTCCAATGACCCAATAGAACACTCCACTGTGCACTTTACATAAAGAGTAAACTTTATGGTATGTAACTTGCAGTCAGTAAAGCTGTTACTTTAGAAAACTCCCTCTGTTATAACCTCATTTTTATAAAAAACCCCTTTAACCATCCATCCTTCTATGTATATGAGAGTACTTTAGAAAGTTCATGGGAAAATGGAATTAAAAATACAAGTGTGGTACAAAAAAATGTCTAAATCCATACACAGTGATAGTCAATAAATAATGATAGTTATTGCTGGTGGGCACCAGTAGGGAAATAATTTTATCTTTTTAAATATTATACATGATTTTAACATAATGAGCTCACAGTTGTGGGATCTTTTTGTTTTTGTTTTTTAGATTTTTGCCACAGGGCATATGTACTTACTGGAGAGGGAGAGGGCAAGTGAGAAATCACCCCCCGGGGGATGGCCACACTGAAATCAATTCCTTCTCTTCCATTTTCCTTTCCGGGTGTTGGGCACACACATACATGCAACCAGCATTGATTTTTTTTCTTTTCTTTTTTTTTTTTTTGAGAGAGATTTTTGCTATAGGACCCATGCCTCGCCAAAGAGACAGAATGACAAAGAAAGAAATCACCCCTAAAGGGAAGATGGTCACATCACAATCCATTCTTCTCCATTCTCCTCTCGGGATTTTGGGCACATATACACATGTGACTGGCATGAGTTTTAAGCCACTGGGTTCAGAATTCAAACTGTGGTAGACTAAGTAGGAGTCCAGCAATGTAACCATTACGTCATCTGCTGGTCCCCCTGAGTTCATTTTCAAGCCACCAGGTCCAGGACTCAAACCACAGTTGGCAATGTAGGATCCAGAACCTTAACCATCATGCCACCTGCTGGCCCTGAACTCTTTTTTTTTTTTTTTTTTTAACAAAACAATAAATTTTCTTTCTTTCTTTCTTTCTTTCTTTCTTTCTTTCTTTCTTTTTTCTCTTTTTTTTTTTTTTTTTTTTTTAAGAGAGATTTTTTTCCTATAGGGTACATGTGCTCACCAGAGATAAAGACAGAAAGCAAGAAATCACCTCCCCAGTGGGGATGGCCACACCACAATCCCTTCTCCTCCATTCTCCTCTTGGGATTTTGGATTTTGCATGCACACACTTGCACCTGGCATAAGCCAGGTCTAGGACTTGAACCGTGGTCGACTACATGAAAGTCCAGTGATATAACCATTACACCATCTGCTGGTCCCAACAAAACAATAAATTCTTTTTTTTTTTTTTTAAAGTAAACCTACTGAAAATGTAACAATAGCCAATTATGGGCAATAATAAAAATAAATACTACTTTATATTTTGATACCTTCAAAATTAATAATTTCCTCTGAACTTATTCTTTTTATATGTTGCACATAAAATGTTAAGCATTTTAATAAGAGTTAGAAAGGTATTTCAGAGGTTTTAATGCCAACAAGTATGATTTTCCAAGAGAAGGCAGGTAGACAACTGAACTTCACAAATTATCAAAATTCTTATGTCATGCATATAAATTGGGGGCCACAGTAACTGGGAGTAGGATAATATTCAATTCAGTTCTGTACTATATAGTACATTAATGATTTTCTTGTCCTTTTTATTTCTAATGGTTTAATTTCAATCTATAACTCCTTGGAGTTTGATGATATCTAGGATCCTCCAAAAGCACAGAAATGTGTAAACTATAGAATAAATAAGTGTTCGTTGATATCATGGGCCAGCCTGTGGCCTAGTGATTATGTGAGACAGATCCCAAATGGCCAAATCCCATATGGTTGGGAGTTCTAGATCTGGCAACTTGAAACAGACATCAGGCACATGTGTGTGCGTGTGCTCCAAATCCTGACAGTGTGGAGAAATAGAGATGGTATTTCAGCATGACCACACTTCACTGGGGTGGGTGGTTTCTCTCTCTCTCTCTCTCTCATGAGTTCAAACACCCTCTAGCAAATTTTTAAAAATGAAACTGAAACTGCTTACTTAGACATGTTCTGGGCTTTCTCGATAAATTTCATCACCTAGAAGAAAAAGATAACCAATTACAACAGGATCTGATTTCAACGTAAAATCAGAGAGCACATTCTCTGGGCTGGCACGCCTCATAGACACCATCACCGACTGAATCCATGTTCTCAATCTCAGGACACCAAATAAGCTTACTGAACCGAAGTATAGCCTGATGTTCAGCAGCTGCAACAACATCCTGAGCACAAAGGACCCGAGAAGCTAAAGACAACTTGTCACTATCTAGTCATATCTCTGGGCATGTTGGTAAATTTTAATAGCTGTCTCATGGCATGACATCAGAGTAAAGAACTAATGGTTATAAAACACTCTTAAGGAAGTAGGGGACAAAGATAACCTAAAGGATGACGAATATTTGTCACTAGTAAGAAGTCCCATTATTCATCTACTCCATGCCTGTTAGTCCAGCCCACTCCTGTACCCTCATTCCATCCTTAGGGGATACTGTAAGGCAATGACAGGTCAAGGAAGGAACCCAGATCACTTGGATTTCTGTTTTATTGGCTATCGCAAAAATTAAACGTTTAGTGCCTCACAACACTGATCATCCACTCGGTTTACTTCCCTGTCTACACAGAATGCCTACTTATTTTCTACGTTTATACTTAGTTTTGCTGCTCTTCTTTACCATGTGGTCATCCTAAGGCATTTAAGTCACAGGTTTGGGGACTAGCAGATGGTGTAACAGTTACATTGCTGGACTCCCCCACAGTCAACCACGGTTCAAGTTCCAGACCTGGTGGCCTTAAATTCATGCCAGCACGTGTGCATGTGTGCCCAAGAGCCCAAGAGGAGAATGGAGGAGAAGTTGTGACCAACCCCCAACACTAAGGAGTGACTTGTTTTCTGTCTGTTTTTCTCTGTCTCTCCAGTGAACACACATGCCCTAAAGCAAAAATCTCTAAAAAGAAAAGCCATAGGTTTTTATATAGCCATGTCTACATTAGTAAAGACAGACATACCTGATCAAATCTGGTCGCAAAGAGATTGAGTGAGGTCACTATGCCACCATTGGGCCCAAGTCCATATCTAGACACTAAGTTGAGGATTCAAGTTGTTTATACATTAAAAGTCATACCTAGACTATAATTCAAACAAACTTCATTATGATATCAGTGTTCTATTAATGGATCCTAACAATCTAATCCTTGACTACAATAGGGTTGTCGGAAAAGTCATAATGCATTTTTGCACAGAAAAACAGAAAACCTAGGTCATGACTTTTCTGACAACCAATATATGCCTTAACCTTACATAAATGTATAGTAAATATTTATGGAGGTTGGGACCAGCAGTTGGCATAATGGCTATGTCGCTAGACTCCCATGAGGTGAATCGTGATTCGAGTCCCAGACCTGGTGCCAGGCACATGTGCGTGCGTGCCTAAGATCTCAAGAGGAGAATGGAGAAGAGATTGTGGCATGGCCAACCTTCCTGGGGGGCGATTTCTCGCTTTCTGTCCCTCTTTCTGTGTTTCTGGCAAGCACATTCACCCTATGGAAAAAAAAAAAAAAAAACTCTCCAAAATAAATATATTTATGGAGATCTTACTTATCATTTTAAGGACACCAGGCAAAATGAAGAAAGTGACCAAAATGTAGTAGACAGATACATGAGACACTGAGAGCCTACCAGCATTTGCCATCAATATCATGTTTAGAGCCAACACATGACATGGTGGTTAGGACATCTGCATCCCACATGGTTGACCATGCAGTTCAAGTCCCAGACCCGGTGGCTCCAGAAACACAAAGGGCTCATATGCATGTGTGTCCCAAATCCCAAGAGGGTAAAATGGAGAAGGGATTCTGGCATAACCATGTCCTGGGGGGAGGGGAGTGCTTTCTCCTCGTTTCTCTCTCTCTTGTTTTTTAGAAGAATGATTTTATTTATTTTTAATTTTACCAGAGAAGGACAGAATGAGAGAGAGAAGGAGGGAGAGAAGCGAGAAAGCAAGCCACCAGGTCCGGGACTCAGACCACGGTTGGCCAAATGGGAATCCAGCACCCTTAACCACCGCACCACCTGCCAGCCCTTCTTCTCCTTTAGTCTCCCTTTCTCCCTCTTTCCCCCTCTCCAGTGAGTGCCCACTCTCTCTGACAAATTTAAGTAAAGAAAAAAAAAATCATGTATATAATATTCCTTGCTCTGATCCTTACTAATCAAGCAACCTGATGATTGTAATTAGCTTTCCTACCTAGACTTACATACAGGGAACGTATAATTTTCACATAGCAAAGTTCTAATTCATCCAACTAAACATACTCATTTCTGAGTTTCCCAGCCTAAAGAAATCTGTCCTCCAAGACTGTCCTACCTTCTGGGACCCATAATCACAAACTGAAATGGTATTTCCGGTCACCGACAATACCTCTCCCATAGTCACCTTCCATTCTCCTAATAAAGTTACTTAAAAGCAGTCAATGCTTTTTGCTTGAATGTTTTGCAAGAAAAGGCAAAAACCCTCTTTCACTGTCATAAAATATACAGTGACTAGCCAAGAATCAATGAACACCAAAGTAGTTGTAGAAAAGGATACTGTTTCATGACTTCTTTATACTTCACAGTATCACGAATATCTGGGGGAAAACAAAGAGAAATGCATTTAATATATAAGAAACAATACGGTCTAAAATCTCCCACCCACAAGGTCCTAGGCCAACAGGTCTCTCCAGTCATCTCTGCTTCCACTGAGGAAAAAAGATAAGTGCTTCTCTTGGTATCTGAGTTACTGTTCACATCTGTTTTCTAAATTTTTTCACTAACATCATTGAGTTGTGATAGGAAAAGCAGCGAGATCTTGAGGAGAAAGAACAGAAGAGCAAAAGGTCTCCCATAAGCACCTTCCCTATCAGCATGAAACTAAAACTAGCCTTTCAGGAATCAGCATTTCTTCTATCAATTCCTTCCCCTTCACACTGGTTTCCTTCCTTACAAAGTATAACTGCCAAGCAACCCATGAAGAATGTTAGGCCAGGAGCTCTTAAGTTATGCTATAAATGGTCTGAGATAAGATGACAGTTTCATACATTTTAAATATCAGTGGCCATAGGCACAGAAAAAGGGAGCTAAAATCAAAAAGAAAAAAAGCTTATTTCTTACTAATTACCTACAGGTAACAAAGGCAATGCAGACATGACTTTTTTTTTTTTTTTTTTTTTGGAGAGGTTTTTGCCATAGGGCATGTGCGCTCGCCAGAAAGACAGAGAGAGACAGAAAGTGAGAAATCACCCCCTGGGGGGGATGGCCACACTGCAATCCCTTCTCCTCTGTTCTCCTCTTGGGATCTTGGGCACGCACGCACATGCGCCTGGCATGAGTTTTAAGCCACCGTGTCAGGGATGCGAACCGTGGTTGACTACATGGGAGCCCAGCAACATAGCCATTATGCTAACTGCTGGTCCCAATAATTCTTTCTTTAAAAAAAGAAAAGTCTGGAAAAGGTCCCCCAGAGCTGAGCCATTAAGATGTGTGACTTCAATGAGGACCAGACTACTGAGTTCAAGAAGGCTTTCAGTTATTTAACCAGATAGGAGATGACAAGATTCTATACAGCCAGTGTGGGGACATGACAAGGGCCCTGGGCCAGAACCCCACCAATGCTGAGGTACTCAAGGTCCTGGGGAACCCCAAGAGTGACGAGATGAATGTGCAGGTGCTAAACTTTGAACACTTCCTGTCCATGCTGCAGACAGTGGCCAAGAACAAGGACCGTGGCACCTATGATGATTATGTTGAAGGCCTTCAGGAGTTTGACAAGGAAGAGAACAGAACTGTCATGGGTGCTAAAATCTGGAATGTCCTTGTCACACTGGGGGAGATGACACAGAGGAAGAGATGTCGGTGGGAGGGCATGAGGATAGCAATGGTTGTATCAACTACAAAGAGCTCATCCATATGGGGCTGAATGGCTGAGAACACCCCCAGTATCCCCAGGATCCTGTGACTTTCTCTGTGCGAGACTCTCTGTCTAGTCCTGAAGCATCCCAGGCTCTCTGGTCACAGCATCTTTCCCACCTTATGTCTCCAGGATGATGTTTGCCATCAGCATTCACCAAATAAATTTGCTCTCTGTGCCCACTCCACCCTCCCCCCAAAAAATACAGTCTTATCAAAATTGGGAACTAGGCCAGCGGGTGATATGGTGGTTAAGGCACTGGACTCCCACGTGGCCGACCATGGTTTGAGTCCAGGACTTGGCGGCTTGCTTTCTCACTTTCCTTTTCTCTGTTTTTCTCTCTCTCTTTCTCTCTCTCTCTCTGGTGAATTAAAAAACAATAATAATACATAAAATTTAAAGACTTAAAAAAAAAAATTAGGAACCTTGGGGCCAAAACATGGTGTGGTGTTTAAGGTACTGGACTCCCACAAGTGCAATCCCTTCTCCTCTGTTCTCCTCTTGGGATCTTGGGCACGCACGCACATGCGCCTGGCATGAGTTTTAAGCCACCGTGTCAGGGATGCGAACCGTGGTTGACTACATGGGAGCCCAGCAACATAGCCATTATGCTAACTGCTGGTCCCAATAATTCTTTCTTTAAAAAAAGAAAAGTCTGGAAAAGGTCCCCCAGAGCTGAGCCATTAAGATGTGTGACTTCAATGAGGACCAGACTACTGAGTTCAAGAAGGCTTTCAGTTATTTAACCAGATAGGAGATGACAAGATTCTATACAGCCAGTGTGGGGACATGACAAGGGCCCTGGGCCAGAACCCCACCAATGCTGAGGTACTCAAGGTCCTGGGGAACCCCAAGAGTGACGAGATGAATGTGCAGGTGCTAAACTTTGAACACTTCCTGTCCATGCTGCAGACAGTGGCCAAGAACAAGGACCGTGGCACCTATGATGATTATGTTGAAGGCCTTCAGGAGTTTGACAAGGAAGAGAACAGAACTGTCATGGGTGCTAAAATCTGGAATGTCCTTGTCACACTGGGGGAGATGACACAGAGGAAGAGATGTCGGTGGGAGGGCATGAGGATAGCAATGGTTGTATCAACTACAAAGAGCTCATCCATATGGGGCTGAATGGCTGAGAACACCCCCAGTATCCCCAGGATCCTGTGACTTTCTCTGTGCGAGACTCTCTGTCTAGTCCTGAAGCATCCCAGGCTCTCTGGTCACAGCATCTTTCCCACCTTATGTCTCCAGGATGATGTTTGCCATCAGCATTCACCAAATAAATTTGCTCTCTGTGCCCACTCCACCCTCCCCCCAAAAAATACAGTCTTATCAAAATTGGGAACTAGGCCAGCGGGTGATATGGTGGTTAAGGCACTGGACTCCCACGTGGCCGACCATGGTTTGAGTCCAGGACTTGGCGGCTTGCTTTCTCACTTTCCTTTTCTCTGTTTTTCTCTCTCTCTTTCTCTCTCTCTCTCTGGTGAATTAAAAAACAATAATAATACATAAAATTTAAAGACTTAAAAAAAAAAATTAGGAACCTTGGGGCCAAAACATGGTGTGGTGTTTAAGGTACTGGACTCCCACAAGGTGGACTGTGGTTTAAGTCCTGTACCTGGCAGCATGAAACTCACACTGAAATACATGAGTTCATGCCCAAAATTCCAGGAGAAGAAAGGAGAAAGGACTGCAGTGTGGTCATCCTCCTTGGAAGGTGATTTCTCACTTTCCTCGAATTGTTTATCTTTACCTCTAGGCAAACACACACGCCTTAAGGCAAAAACTTAAAAAAAAAAAAAAATGGGAACCACTCCTCAGAACAAGGCACATTTGCATAGATATGCACATTTTCCCACATAATTTTAGGAGTAAAAACAAGGATCTACACATCAAGGAATGATCTATAGCATAAGAACCCTTATACTCTGACCAACTTTTGAAAAAAGAAACTAAATGAGAAAAGTTTATGTACAACAGTCTGCTAAAGGGTTTATGGCACAGAAGTGAAAGGACTGACTTTCTTTTGCTTCTTTTTCCCAAATAACAATAGCCTGGTGCACTAATGTCAGAAAGAGGAGAGATAAAGATGAGTGGGATGAAAACAAAGAAATTTAGGATGGCTGACCCCTTAGTACAGTGACTTAGCACTGTGCGTTGGGAGCTGGATCATGGCCAACTGGAGTTCAAATCCCATCCTGAAGGTTTGAGAAACAAGCTGGGTGTGTATGCATCGATGACAAAAATCTTGGTGCACTAGAGGCATGAAGAAGAGACGACCATGGCATGACCACGCCCTATTGTGGGAGTGCTCCCTCTCTCTGTGGTGGATGTATGCACTCTCTGGCCACTAAAGAAAATCGTTTTTAGGAAAAACAAAAGAAGTAAACAGAGAGAAATGTGAAAAAGAAAGAACACTGTTTAGGGACTCAAGCAAATCCAAGGGAAATAAGAAGAAAAAAATGAGGAGAAATGAAAAAGGAAGGCACTGAAGACCAGCGGACTAGAGGCTTTTCATTTTCTTTGAGGCACTTCATCAAAGTTATGGTAGTTTACTCACCAATATTGGCAGGAAAGGGGACTTCATGCACAGCTGGGTCTAGGTTGATCACATAAGGTGGAGAGCCTTGGCTGTGCAGGTACCCTGTGAGCCTCTGCAGAGATATGGGAAGGTTAGAGGTGAGGTGACGAGAGAGGACTTCCATTCCTTTACTAAACCATGCCTGATGTCTGCATGTATTTCCTTCTACCTGAAATATCCACCCCCTATGTCCATTTCCAATGTTCAACTATCGGTTCAAATGCTACCTTTTGTTAATCACGCATCTAACAGAGCTTCCTCTACTGTCCATCCCAAATTAGTTTTTTATGTAATTGCTTGAGTTTTTTCTCTCTCTTTCAGCTTCATGAAAGTGGCCGTTAATCTCCTTCGCTGTATCCTTCATGCTTGGAACACGGTAGGAGCACAAGAAATAATTCTTTGGCAAATCTTCACCGAAAATCTGTGCGCTGAAACTGGATTACTCTCTAGAGTTACTTGTAAGTAGAAGCCGGCGGTGTTAAATATTAGCAAGACAATTCCAGCACTGCGTGGTAACCTGTACCAAGTACGCACTGAGAGCGCACAGCAGAGGCTTAATTAACTCAGGTTAGGGCCTGAGAAGGCTGAGCCGAGGAAGGAACAGCAGTTGAGAAGTCCTCAAATGCCACGCGCCGGTACCCTCCAACTTCGCCAGATCGTCCTCCCTTTTTCCCTGGCCTTCCGCCCGCCACAGACGACCTGTCATGCACCCCCCGCTACGCCGGCATGGCGTACGTCACCTGTACGAAAGTGGTCTTCCCGGCCCCCGCCATTCCCAACACCAACAGACACACAGGGGGTCGAGGACCGCCCGAAGCCTGAAGCTCCGCTACAGCTGCGGGCGCCGCCATCTTTCGCTTGGTTCCGCCCACCATACCATAGAGACGCCGCGCGGCTAGAGAGGCTTCCGCGCCGTTATGGGCTAGGAAGTCGAGCCGGATCCAAACGGCGGAAAGCGGAGCGCGAGCGGGTGGCCGAGGGGGCGTGGCGAGAGGCCGAGGGGGCGTGGCGAGGGGGGGCGTGGCGAGAGGCCGAGGGGGCGTGGCGAGGGCGGCCGAGGGGGCGCGGCCGGCCCCGAGTATGTACTCCAGGTCGGGCGTAGCCTGGGGGCCGACTAGCGTTAGCTACGGAGAAGTGGGGGCGTCGGGCAACGTGGAGCAGGGCTGGAGGGAGCCAGGAAAGGGGGCGCGGACCCTGATAGGGCAGAATCTGGAAAGGGCAAAGCCCTGGCCGCCAGAAGGGCGAAGCGAGATGGCACCTGAAGCGCAGGTCTCTCCCAGTACGAAAAAGAGCGTGCGGCTTTCTTTGCGCCCGCAGAGGGCCGGGAGCGGCGCCGCGGAAGGACGGGCTGCTAGGGCCTATTCAGCAACTGAGAAAGTTAAACAGCTCAGGACTGGACTAGCCGCGACTGGGGCGGAGTGCGACGTCCGGGGACGCTGGGCAGCCCCGAGACCCGTAGAGCTCCGAACCAAGCCACTGGAAGAACTTTGCGCGCTTCGACCTGGTTCCCGTGAGTTGCAGACACCCGACACTACTGCCCGCTCCTCAGTAGTCTCTCTGGGTGAACTACCCAGTTGCCCTGATGTTGAGGTTGAACTCTTGGAGTTCTGGAACAGGTAGGTTCTGAAGGGGAGCTTCCCGCTTCGCTGGAGGGGCCTCGATGGAGAGGGTAAGAGAGCCTGTGAGAACCGGGAAGACTTCCTACTCCCAAAAACCCAGCCTGTTTCTGTAGCCCTTTGTAGCTGCTACAGTTTAGTAAATTATAACATCCGGTTTTCATACCCTGACTGCCAGTTGATAGCGGTGTGAGTTGTGGGGAAGTCACTTAAACTCTCTGAACCCGTTTTCTGTTTTTTAAAACAGGTAATGCAGCTTTGCGTATGTAGTGAATGCATATTTTAAACTGTAAGCTATACAGGTACCCTCATCTTTACCCCTGGCTGTATTCCCCATGCTTTGCACAGTGCCTGCAATATAAAGGGTGCTTAAAAACATTATGTATGAATAAAAGACAATTCTGCATTTTTTATTATTTCCTAAATTTTCATTAAGAACTGATAAAGGAATGTACCATTTATTTTTCCTTCAGGTATACTGAGGGACGCACTAGGTCCCCTCCACCATATCTTAGTTTAATGAATAATTTTTTCAAGACAGAGAAGCTAACAAAGACAGGGGTGAGGCTTAAAGAAAAGACTGTGCAGTTGATGAAGCTAAACCAGGAAATAAAACAAGCTCAAATCCAGCAGGAACCACTAAAGGAGGACACCAGGCAGCTACGCAAGGAAAAGTCAACTGTCCAGGCTGAAAACAAATTCTTTCTGAAATACCTGACAGACAAAACTGAGGAGTATAAAAGACAACCTGAGAAGCTATGGAACAACTACTTACAAAAAAGTGAGGAGATTGAACAAAGGAGACAAGAATTGGCCTCCAGATACGCAAAGCAGACTTCACAGCTTAAAACAGAGCTCTTGCAGAAGGAAAAGATCCAGTACAATTTGAAGCAGCAGTTGCAGGCACTGAGGGACATTTCGGTATTGAAAGAGAAACAGGAGACAGAAATACAGGCATTACAGGAGAAGAAAAAAAAAGTCCAAGCTGAGACAGCTACAAAGAAACAGCAAGCACAGGTCCAGCTTCTCCAGGAAAAAGCATTATTGGAGAAACAACTGAGTGAGCCAAATGTGTGCCAGTTAGGAAAGAGAAAAGGGGAGCTGAAGAAGCAGCACCATGCCTTGGAGTTGGCAGTCAAGCAGTATTTTTTTCAGTTCTACAGCAGCATTGGCAGAGATAACCAAGAGTTACAGAAGGAATTACTACAGCTAATTCTGCAATCCAAGAAGTTGGAAGCTACTCAAAGCCAGTTAAAATATCAGAAGCAGCTATTACAGCAGGAACAGTGGTATCTGGATTGCTTAAGCAGAGGGAGGCAACGGCTGCAAGAAAGGAATAACTGGTGCCTAAAAGAATAGGGTGCTCTAGAGACCACACTGAACCGGGGCCCTCGGCACCAGATCTAGGATTGATCCAGCACAATTCCTGACATAACAATTATGAACTGGATCAAGAACTCTTAGGTAGAACATAAACCTGGTAACTGATGAACTTTATCATCCTTATTCCTTCTGGCCAACTCAGTAGACAAAAGTAGTGTTTTTAAGCTCTTCTTCAAGTCCACATCAGTGACCAGATAGCTCCTATAGTTTTCTCATAGATGAAAAGAATACAAAAAACCCTCTGTTAACAGTAAGTCCAGTAAGCGCCAAAAGCAGGATGACTTTTTATCCAATGCAAAGTCCCTAAAATTTTAGCTTTGAGTAAATTGAGAATATAAGGGAAGATGTTTCTTCAAAGAATAACTAGTAGTGATTGAATGTCTCTGCTTATTTAGGAAAATATATTTTCAAGTATCTGGACAATAAGTATCTTTAGCACATGAAGTATCTTTCGTAATGTGTGCCGTATATTTATGCCCACATAATAGATATAGAAATAGTATCTTATACTAGTACAGACTTTTTAAAAGTTGTAATTTTTATATTTATGACATATGGAGGTTAGACTAGTGCTTTATTTAAATGCTGCTCTTCCCTGGGAAAACTTGGTTAACTGTATTTTTCAGAAGTTGTTAGTGATGAAAACTTTAAAATTATTCTCTGAATTTTTAATTTTATATATAAAATGGATTCTCCTTCAATATGCCTTTGACTTCTAGTTTTAATAATTTGTTAAATATCAGTTTTGTCACTAAATAATAAAAACCTACTTATGACTATATCTATTGATTTTATTACTGTTCCAATATAAAAACATTTTCTACTTCATTCCTTTTTTTAAAGAATTATTCACTTAATTTTACTTATTTTTAATTTGCGGTAGGGCATGTGTACTCACCAGAGAGAGACAAAGCAAGAGAATGCCACCAGGTGAAGAGAGAAAGTGAGAAAGCAACCCACCAGGTCCGGAACTCAAAACATGGCAGGCCAGTGCCTTATCCACCACACCACCCGCTAGCCTTAGTCAAGTCTTAGTCACACTAGTGTTCAAATAAAAGGACTAGTTTTAGTGAAGGTAGGATTCTAGATGGCATGCAGATACCATAACCTAAATACCTCAATTCAAAAGCTGCAAATACAAAAAGAATGAACTTGGAAAGCATGATATTCAAGGCTGATTTGAAATTCTGTTCTCTATGGATGCAAAAATCCTAGGAAAATATATACCTAAAAATGATAAGGAGTCAGAAAGATCCCAGACTCACTGTTCTGCTGATCCCCCTCCTGCCATTGCTGTCCAGATGATCTAATTCAGGATGTGTAACCCCATCTGATTTCAGTTTATTTTTACTTATCATCCCAGATACTACATCTTTTACACTACTTGTGGCTGGCCCCTTTCAGAGTGAGGGCTTGAAAACATTATGGAGTGAATCATTTGAAGTACTTTGAAATCCAAACTGCCAAGTGATAAGTAGGTTAGCCAATGAAGATCTTAATCTACTTTTTGTCTGATTCACAAAATCAAACAGGGTGATGTTACAGAAAATAATTTCCAATGGAAAAGATATTTTGGGGTGAAACTGAGGCTAAGACCTAAGTGATAAAATACAGGTTACAGGACAAAAAATGGGGAAGAAACCATTCTAGGCAGAGACAACAGTGAGTGAAAAGGTCCCATGAGCAGATTTAGTAGGAACAGAAAGGTACATGTGGCTAGATTGTAGCTGGGGGATGGGTGGAGCAGAAGACAAGGCTATAAGGTTATCAGCCGTATGAACATAGAGGCCTTGCAGGCAGTGGTAAATACCAGCTTCTCTCCAGCAGTGCATTATCACTGTACCACAGACCCAGCCTCAAACAATCATTCTTGTTTGTGTCACTTGGTACACCTGGAAAAGAAGGCTTTCTCTGTCTATACCTAGGAACAAAACTGCGGTCTTAGAGTCTATCTTCACTTTCACTAGATAGGTGCTGAACCATTTCCAAAGTGATTGTACCAATTTATAAACTGCATGAAAGTTCACACTGCTCCACTAAGTAAATAACTCAATAATGTCAAATTTGGTTTATGTTATTCTAATAAATTCATTAAAAAACTCACTAGTGGGACCAGCAGTTGGTGCAATGGCTATGTCGCTGGACTCCCATGTAGTCATTCATGGTTCAAGTCTGGGATCTGGTGGCTTAAACTCACTCCAGGCACGTGTGCATGCATGCCCAGTAGGAGAATGGAGAAGAAGGGATTGTGGCATGGCCATCCCCCCTGGGGGGGTGATTTCTCCCTTTCTGTCTCTCTGTCTTTCTGGGGAGCGCATGCGCCCTAAAGTAAAAACCTCTACAAAAAAAAAAAAAAAACACAGCTTGGTAGTGATTAGGAGGGCCTACACTGAGTCCTGCTGATTCCTGGCCTTGGGAAGAAAAAAGAAAAGTGCCTGCAAGGGGGGCCCTGGATGACACTGGGCAAGTTTCCTAAACCAATTCACTTTAATGTCAGGTTACTCTGTTCTTTTAAGAGGTTTTTGCTATAGAGTACAGAAAGAGAGGCAGAAAGCAAGAAATCACCCCCCTTCAGGGGGGTTGACCACACCATAATTCCTTCTCCATTCTCCTTTAGGGATTGCGGGCATGCACACACATGTGCCCACCATGTTCAAGCTGCCAGGCCCAGGACTTGAACTGTGGCTGACTACATGGGAGTTCAGTGATGTAACCATTACACCATTTGCTGGCCCCATCAAATTATTCATTTTAAACAGCATTTGAAACTTCCTTCAAACTCATTCTCATCTCCAGTCATCTTCTTACCCCCATACTATGTCTTTGCAAGAAGTCAAATAGCAGGTAGGAGTCAAAGAACAACTAGAAACATCACTCTAGTCGAGATAATTTATTTCTTCGGTCATTGCCAAACATCCCCCAATCTTACCAGAAATTAAATAGCTTCTTCATTTCTCCTCCCTGACAACCCTCACCTACTGAAAGGGCTTTAAGGGCACAACTGTCAATGAAAATTTAGAGTGGATATCCCATGTCTTTCACTTGTTTCAAAACTACCTATTCTGGCAGTACCCAAATCAGGTTTCAATGCCCCCTTGTTTTAAAGTGGTCTTCACAAAAGCCCACATTTTAAAGCTATTTGGAGGTGCACAGAGAACAGAGAGTTAAAGAGCAATAGCCTTTCAGAATTTGAAAAGGTAGTACCTGTCAGTATCGGGGTTAATTTTTTACGTGGCTTATGCCACAAAATAGGCAAGAATATATAAGACCAATATTTATGCAAAAGGGGGAAGAGAATCCAGAAACACGACAACAAAGCTGCTCTAACCAATGCTCCAGACAAAGCCACCCTCAAAGAGAAACAGCCCATAAACATTACCAAGAAGGCATGAGGTACAGAAAAAAATTTTTTTCTTTCAAGCTCCAGATTAATATCTACATCTGGTGTCAAAGTCTCAGGATATAAAGGTAGAACCCCATATATAAAAGAGGACAGAAGGACAATATTCTCAGAAAATTCAGACAAAGGTTGGCTCAAGAGATAGACAAGGACTTAGTGGGGAGCAGACTAACTAGTGAGGTAAAATCGGGGGAGAAGGAATGCACACCTTGGTTTCTGATCCTAGTGGCATTACCAGGAGCACTAAGACACTGTGTCAAAACCCAGGGGCAATGTGGTTTTTCTTAATCCTTAAAGCCAAGGGAGCAATAGCAAGCTTCAGGAGGCCACCCATCATAAAAAGAGGTGAAGGTGAAGCTTCAGGCCCCAGGAAAGTTGGGACAGTATTTATTGCTGCTTCTACTTTTTCTTTCCAGTCAGTGTAGTGTTTAGGATACATCACTCCTAAGGCTGCTTTTCTTGCCTGAGGGTCTAGACACTGCTACCTGATACAAACAAAGTATTTCCCAGTAGAACCAGGGTGAGAGGTTCTAGCTTTTTTACCCTAAGTCCAATTTCTTACTTGCAATCCTAAAATCATACTGAGAAGACAAACAATCTCCACACTTTGTTTCCCAAGGAGACAAGGTAACCTTATTACATGAGTGACAACAGTTCTAGCTTCTAGTCTTATTATATCACAAATACAAAAAAATAAAATCAGTATGTTGTTTTTTTTTTAAAAAAAAAAAAAGAAAAAGTGGAATTCATTCATAAGCTAGATGATGAGCAGCTACTAAATCAGTGGAGCTTCCAAGAACATTCTATACCCCAGGAAGGAAAGGACAACCAAACAGGTTTCTCAGTCTTGTACAGGGCAAGAGGGGCCTATACTTCGGCTTAAGAGGGAGCTCTTTGGGCAAGATAAGAGAAAAACGAGAGGACTCCAATGAGGAACGGCAGGAAAACCTACTAATAGGGAAGGGGGAGAATGTGAGTAAGTAGGGAAGACAGTGAAATTTACACGGGAGGAAGGAGCTGAGCAAGTCACAGCCTTAGACAAACAGCTGGAAGAATCCTCACTCAGCCCCATGACCCAGTCCTCCCCGCACAGCTCCCCGTGACAAGAGCACCACATCCACTCTCCTAGGAGCACGTTCACACTAACTGCCTATTTCCTTCCTCGTTTATGGTTAGTCTTTGGGGGCTTGACCTTCTGGAATTGTGCTGGCACTGGCTCCTGCTCTGATTCCTTACAGGAGGTCGACACTACCAGTTCCTCATTATTCCTCTTCTGACCCTTCCCTACTCTAAGACTTGGCTCTGTCTCAGGAAGCTCAATGCTGGGCTGCTGCCGCCTTCGTAGAGACCTTCGGCTCCGGTGCTGCTGCCTCCGCTTTTCTTCTTCTTGTTGCCGCTGTTTTATCTTCATCAGCTTTTCAAAGCTTTTGGTTGTTGTTGGGTTTACAACAAACCAATCCTAGACAGACAAAACAGAAACATCATCCAGTCAGAAACACAGTACAGAGCACAAAAAGAGGTCTAGGAAGAATAGTAAAAAGCATGTCGAGTAAAATACATTAAGAAGGAAACAGATAGGAACCACACCTTAGAACTCTATTTTTAATTACAAAAATCTAATACAGAGCGGTTACTATAAGCACATTTTGTGTGAGATACGATTCTGGGTACTTCAATAAATGATCACAAAGTCTGTTTACTTAGCATCATCCCATCCATTTCTCTCCTTTGGTATAATCTCATCACGAGGGATAAGGCACTGAGCCGTTAGAAACATATTTTATGACAGAGTAATGGATAAAAGTATAAATTTTACAGTCAGATCTCCTGAATGCAAATCCCAGCTCTGTTTCTTTGTGACCATAATTACTTAAATATATGACTCAACCTTTTTCAGCCTCAGTTTAAGAAGTTTTAAAAATTTAAAAAATTAAACAAAAGCAGTATATAGACCTTCTTCTAGATTCTGATTTGAAACAAATTATTATATCTTTAAAAGCCCTTATCATTTAGAAAAACATAATGCAAGAAGCATTTACAGCTGAAAATATATGTGGAATGTGCTCTAAAATGTGCCTTTAAGGGGCCAGCTGGTGGTGTGGAAAAACACCCTGGGTGTATGTGCATGCATGACCAAAATCCAGGGAGAGTGGAATAAAAGGGATTGCAGTGTGGCCATCCCCCTTGGGGATGGATCATTTCTCACTTTCTCTCTTGCTCGCTCTCTCTCTCTCCTTCTCTCTCTTTTTCTCTCCAGAGAGCACATACCCCTACATACCCTGTGGCAAAAACAAGGGGATACAAAAAGTGAGTAAGGTAATAAATAAAATAAGACTGGCCATACAATGATGACTGTTGAAGCTATTCTCATGTATTTGAAATGTTCTGTTTAAAAATAAAATTTTAAAAAAGGTGATGTTTAATATTTTAGGATTAAGAGCCAGATCTGACATAGTTGACTATGGCTTGAATCTCAGACTGGTGGATTGAAAAGCATGCTGGGCATGTATATACATGTGTCCTACATTCTGAAAGGATGGAGAAAGAGGGAAGGGACTGTGGGGTGGCCATACCCCATGGGGGGGACATCCTTTCTCCTTCTGTCTTTCTCCTTCTCTCTCTTTCCATCTCTCTGGTGAGCACATGTGCCCTCTTGCTGTTTAAAAACAACAACAAGCGGCCGGCAGGTGGTGTGGTGGTTAGGGTGCTGGACTCCCACATGGCCGACCACAGTTTGAGTCTCGGACCTGGCAGCTTGCTTTCTCACTTTCCCTCTCTCAAACTCTCCGGTCAAATTTAAATAAGGGAACCAGCAGGTGGTGTGGTGGTTAAGACGCTGGACACACCCACATGGCCAACCACAGTTCAAATCCCAGACCTGGTGATTTGTTTTCCCACTTTCTCTTTCTCTCTGTCTCTGTCTGTCCAAATTAAAATAAATGAATGAATAAATAAAATAAATACAATTAAGTTAAATTAAGTAATTCTTTTTTTAAAAAAAACCAGGTTATAGAAAGACATTATACTACTAGAAAGTATAGCTATATAGAGATCACTATATAACAAGAATTTCAATTGTTCAAATAAGAATGTTCAGTTACGGTGATTACAAATACTTCCACAGAAAAATTCAATTACACATCTAATTTTAGAGAGCATTTTAACTCCATGATTCTGGTAACCATTTTCTTTTCCTTGACAGACCTAGCCCATAAAAACAGGGACAAAGTCTACCGCTCCTGTGGCTTACATAACAGACCCACAAGATCAAAAACACTATAGGGAAACAGAGACCTCACCTCAGCATGGATAGAGTTGATGTGATACTTGACACCACTCTCTGACACAAATTCTTTCTGACATAGAAGACACTTGTATTTTCCAGCCACAAAGTTTCCCTGTTCCCAAGAGAAAAAGAAAAAAGAATTACTAGTATATCCAGAAACACCTACCTAGGCCACATGTAAGGATTATTAGCAATAAAAAGAGGAGATTGTACTTCAGCAAATAAGGAAGACAAAGATCAAAAACAGTAATATATTTAGGAAAATCAACTTAGGCAAACTATGACCAATATAAAACCTAATGCAATTCTCTACCAAGCATCCACCCCATTTTCAACACAACCTGTTGTTCTCCTACTTTTATTATGTAATACACCACAATTTTCTACCTCATGTTCCTTTCATTTCACTTTCTGGTTTTCTTGGTTCTTCCCCCAAAATGACCAAACTCCCAAAGTTTACCAGAGGCACCAATGTGCAGATCTTCCCACTATGATCCACTGCTGCCAGGAAGTGCCTGGGAAATGCAGAATTAGAAGAGTACCATCCATAATACCTAGTTTAAGGGCTCAGAAACTAGGATCAAGATGACAAACTCCTAAGCATGCCTGGACAGATCTGGTTTGGATGCCTACAACTCCCTTGTTGCCTTGACCTGAGACTTCTCTCCCCTCCTGAAGCTTCAGATTTCCATGATGCTCATTTTGTGTGAGGAGACACTTCTGAATGGGATTGGAAAGTGGCAGCAATTCCCATGGCTGGTGGGTTGTAGGACACCTGGGTCAACATGGAAAAGATTCAGTGAGGTGAATGGCTGTTAGCCTGAAATCCTAACCCACCTCCCATTCCCACAGACCAGTATAGTTCAGATGGGTTTAGAAGATCTGCACCAATCCAGAAAAGCACGTATAAGCTGATTCTAGAAAGTTTAAGGCCCAATAAGATAGAGCAGGTCTATGAAGTGTGGGAGAGGCTCAGATAGAGGGAACTAAATCCCTAGTAGGGACTCAAAACCAACATATTCTCAAAATTCCTGTAATTGACTTAAGGTTATGTTGGCCTTTTTTGAGTTTTGGATGAACCTTGGCACCACATTTAGTAACAGATCAGAAATCTTTGGCACATGACAACTAAAGCAGCTTCCAAAGATAACAATCAGGACAACTAGCTGTTCACCTAGACTGAATTCTCTTCCATGTCAGACTACTTATATTAAAATATTAAATTTTAAAAGTTACAAACCAATGTACAAGAGCCCAGGTGAGCTTTAAGGCCAGATACACTACTGTAGACAGCCTCACAACCCTGAAAAAGAGAAGAAATAATTTGATGATTATGCCAAACAGCATCCTTCGCTTAGTAATCTGGCCATGTACACTGACCAATACTGTATGTGGAGGAAGAACAAAAATAGTGCCACAAACCAAACAAACAAACAAATCCACATGCAAGTCACAAAAGCAAGAAGGAAAACCAAGGAAAGGTAAAAGTAAGGTTCAGGTGCTTTGTCACAAATAAATAACTGAAATGATAGCAGATGCTTGATAAACATTTACTGAATAAACGAATGAGAAAGAACCACCTGGTTGGGACACTGAATACGATGATCCTTCTTGATATCTGCCTTCCATTTGTGTAGTACTTCCTGGCTGAAGGTAGGCAGACCAGGGCGAGTGTATTTTAACTACAAGACAAGAAACATTTCATTGGAGGAATCCAATTCCCAATCAAAATATCCCAAAAGTTTCATACCCAACTTTTTAGGTTATTTCATTCTGGAGTCCAGAAGTATATTTTCATTTTCTAAAAACATGGAAATATTAACTCTAAAGTTACTGAAATTGGTAAGCATAACTGTCTATTTTTTAGCCTTAGAAAAGTCTGATTTTTAAGAGACCGGAGGCTTTCAAATGTAACACTTCAACTACAATTTAAAAAAAAAAAAAAAAAAAAAAAGCTACAGAACATTACAAAGTTAAAATATGTGTTAAAAGAGAAAGGGAGAGAGATACAAAATGCATTCATATACTCATTCCATAACTATAGGTACAAGGGTAAAAAGCTAGAAAGGCTATAAACCAAAATGTTAACACAGGTATTCTTTTGAGTAGTAGAATTCTGAATGATTTTAATAGCTTTTCCCTGTTTATGTGAATTTCAAATTTTTTGTTAATAACAACATCAATATTTTTCAATATTTTTAAAACTTGAATATTTTCAATATTTTTAAAATTATAAAACAAAAAAAATTAAGGTTCAACCTAAAACAGGAATGTGAAGAGAAAGTGGGGAATAGAACACATAAACTTTGCTTGTACTGCGAAAGGAATTATTCCAAGTATTTCCTTTTTTTTTAAAGAACTATTTTTATTTAATTTTATTTATTTATTTATTTATTTATTTTAATTTGACCAGAGAGGGACAGAGCAAGAGAATGAGAGAGAGAAAGTGAGAAAGAAAGCAAGCCGCCAGGTCAGGGACTCGAACTATAGTTGGTTATGTGGGAGTCCAGCGCCCTTAACCACCTGCCAGCAACTACAACTAGAGTTTCCAAAGAGAGCACCTGTAGAGATCTCTCTCTGAAAGTTCATCATAGACACTAGCTAGATTTCTGAGGAGTAAACAAGTTTCCTGTTTAACAATGGAAATCTCTGAAAAGCTGATCATCTGAGACAGAAAAGCAAACCAAAGTCCATAGAGGTAATGTGGAAAGTAAGGAAAGTAGCCCAAAGAACGTCTGGTAAATCTATAAAGAAATCAGAACATAGAACTGGCTTTATTCCTATGCATTTACTCTCTTCTGCAGCTGGTGTAAATAAGCCCGTCTAAACTCCTTTTACAGTGATAGGGAAACATTTATAGAAACTATTACTTTTATATAATAAACTATCGGTCATATTTATATAAACTACTAATATATAAAAAGGAAAGAAGGGGCAAGCAGGTGGTGTAGTGGTTAAGGTGCTGGATTCCCATACAGCCGACCGGGGTTCAAGTCCTGGACCCAGCAGCTTGAAACTCATACCAGGTGCATATGCAAACATGCCCAAAATCCCAAAAAGAGAATGAAAGAGAAGGAATTGTGGGTGATCATCCCCCTGGGGATGATTTCTCACTTTCTGTCTCTCTGTCTCTTACCAGGGAACACATGCACCTTATAGCAAAAATCTCTTTTAAAAAAAAAAAAAGGAAGAATGAGTGAGGATGACCTCTATGAATACGTATGGAGTGATTTCCAGGATATGCTGCTAAGTGAAATAAAGCAGAATGCAAAGAAGTGCCTGTAGTAAGAAAAGGGGATATAAGTAAATAGATATCACATTATCCATCCCATAAAAATACATGAAAGGTGGGCCAGAGGTGGTGTGGTGGCTGGACTCTCACATGGCCAGCCGCTCTCTCTCTTGCTCTATTTCTCTCTCTCTCTCGCTCTCTTTCTCTCTCTCTCTCGTGAATGCAAATTAAAATATAAATATAATAATAACAATAATAAGTAAAATTAGATCTTTTTTTTTTTAATACAAGAAGAGTGAAACAGAAACTGTCTGGTATAGAAACGTGAGGATTGGGTGGGCCTGACTTTTCTGGTGGAGAAAGCCGCAGGAACTGGCCTCAGGTTTATTCTTTTAAAGGGCAGAAAATGGGGGCAGAGGAAAAGGAATGCAAAGCTTTAGCATGTAAATTGTCTAAAGAGGCGAAAATGACTGGCACAATGTACTTTCTCTGATCTTTTTGGGGCAAAATTTGATAAACACACGTGGCTTCTTTTGGCCTCATACTGCCCTGCAGTATTGGGGATCTACAACAACAGTAAGATAACTGACAACAACAGTCAGACAGCGTTTTCATATGCAAATGCTTTCATAGCCATTGCTAATAAAGCTCCTGAAAGTGCATCTCTGCATGTGTCTAAAGGTCACTATGTTTTCTCAAATTGGCCGCTCTCCACAACCACGCCACCTGACAGCCCCTCAACATAAGTTTTTAAACAAAGAATATATATTCCTTATAAGTACATCAAGAAACACTAAGAAGATTCACAAAAATAAAAAAAATAAAAGAAAAAAAAAACTAATAAAAATGGTTAACCACAGAGACAGGATAAAATGAGAATAAGGTGGGAATGGATAGCTCAATGTTCATGATAATTTTGACTTTTGAACAACAAGAATATATTATTTATTCAAAAAATTTAATTTTTGTTTTAAAAATAAAATGTCTTACCTGAAACATAAAATGTGTGATGACTTTTGAAAAGTATATGCTAAATAAGACTACTAAATTTTATCAATGAGCTAATAAATATTTATTTCAAATTCTCTACCACATATCATGTACAGTAAAACTTGACTCCAGTATCACAGGATACCTATCACTGTGCAAAATCCACATTTAAACTGAATTTAGACAGCTATGTGCTTTAGCTTACAGCAGGAAAAAAATGTAGAAACATGTCTGAAATAAAAAAAGATGCTCTGGGCCAACTCCATGGCTTAGTGGTTAAGTGCTGTCCAAGAGAAGCCAGAGACCATATGGCAATTGTGGTTCTAATCCACGACCCAATCAGTTTAAAACATGCCAACAGGATGGTGGAACGGAGGAAGATGATACAGGCATGAGCAGACCCTGTGAAAAGTGCTCATCTCTGTCTCAATGTCACTCTCACGTGTGCATGCACGCACTCTATCATGAACAAAGGGAAAAAAAGTAGAAAGAAAGAAAGAATGCTCTGATATTCATAAATAAGATCTAACTACTGGACACCAGTAGTACTGATTTTTAGACCAGAAGGATATAGACACTGGAGCTAGCAGGTGGCATGGACTCCTACATGGCCGACCATGGTTTGAAATATGATGAACCTGGCGACTTGCTTTCTCATTTCCCTCTCTCTCTGTCTCTCTCTGATCAAATTTTAAAATAATAATAATAATAATAAATAAAATTAAATAATTATTTTTAAAAGGGAGATAAACATTAAATTTAGGATTTGATCTTTTTTTCTTAGAAGACATAATATTCCTCTCACGTGGGTCAAAGTACTAGGTCAAATCTAAACTATTATGGAAAGCAAAAGATTCTTATCTCTGATCTTAGTCCTCATTATATATCCCCTCAACCCCTTTCCACACTGCCCTGTTATATACCTCCTATATCCTCCTGGTTAAATAATGTTCCTTCTCTCTATGGTCTAGTCCATTCCAATGGCTTCCAAATGGGCTCTGAACCCCTACAGGCCATATAGAGGAATGATAAAGTTTCAAAGAAATAAATGACTAAATAGACTTTGGGCTCACTATCCCCAATTATTCAGAGCAACTCTAGTTTTTGTTATTTTATATACTGGCATGTTTTATATAAACTTTTATTTTGAAAAAAGGGAGTTCTATTGCTACAAAAAAAAATATAAATCACTATTTAAACTAAGTATAAACTAGTACATATGAACTAAAAGAATAGAAACAAAGGGACAAAGATGAAACAAAAATCTAAACTAGGAATTCAGGTTCCCTCTGGAAGTAGTCCAGAACTAAGAGAGCTCCTAAAGGAACTTCTGAAACAGAAGTCACTCTAAGACCTACCTGAATCCAAATTCTGAAGCTGGATCAGGTGTACTCCGTCTCCAAGGATAAAGAAGCAAAAACATGGTTCATCATGTACTCACTCAAGTAATTTACTTTTTCTATGTATAGTAAGCACAATATTAGATAAAATGATCCCAAAATTATTACAAGTTTCTACCTTACCTTCCGATCATCAGGTACCAGGTCCTGAAGCACCTTCCTCTTGGGCCATTCTTTGGCCAGTTCAGCAGAGGCCAGCTCCTGCAGGTGGTACACAGCTATCTTGGCAGAACGCCTCTGAACTCGACCCTCACTCTTTGCCTCCAGGTCCATCTCTTTTAAACATTCTGGCTGTCCTGACTCTGGAAAGAAGGAGATCTGCAAGAATGAGACACAGCAAAACACAGGCCTGATAAATGGCTTCCATCAGAGCCACTGAGTAAAGGTTGTCCTTCCAGCTCTACATATCACAAGAGCTATTTACTAGCTGCCAAACAACCAGCATTAAGTTCTACCATATTAATGCATATTTTATTAGTTAAAAGAGAAAAAAAAAAGCTTTTTAGGAGAATAAAATCTGTCCTGTTGTTAGTAAGTAAAAGTAATTAAGTCAAGATAAAAATTCAGGGCCAGCCCCATAGCTTAATGATTAAGGGAGCTGGATCCCACATGGCTGACTACAGTTCAAATCCTGGGCCTGATGGCTTGAAAGACATACCAGAAGTGTGTACATGTGTGGCTGAAATCCCAACAGAATGGAGAAACACAAGAGAAGGGACTGCAACATGACCATGCCCCATTAGGTCTCCCTCTCCCTCTCTCTGTAGTAAGCACACATGCCCTCTAACAATTAAAAAAAAAAAAAAAGGGGGAGGGGGGACGGCCAACAAGTGGCAAGGGGTTACCGTGCTAGGCTGCCATGTGACCAACTCAGGTTTGAGTCCCAAACCTGGTGGCTTGAAAATCAAACCAGGTAGGGAGCCAGCAGTTAGCGTAATGGCTATGTCACTGGACTCCCACATGGTCGACCGCAGTTCGCGTCCTGGACCTGGTGGAAAACTCACGCCAGGAGCGTGTGCGTGTGTGCCCAAGATCCTAAGAGGAGAAGGGATTGTGGTGTGACCATCCCCCCTGGGGGGTGATTTCTCGCTTTCTGTCTCTATGTCTCTCTCTGTCTGTCTGGCGAGGGCACGCGCCCTATAGCAAAAAATCTCTCCCCAAAAAAAAAAAAAAAAAAAAACAAACCAGGGACATACGCATGCGTTCCCAAAGTCTCAGAAGGAGAAATGGAAGAAAAAGGTTTGTGGTGTGGCCATCCCCCCAAGGCGGGGTATCATTTCTCACATTTCCTCTCACTGTCTCTCTCCAGTGATCACATGTACCCTATGACAAAAACCTAAAACAAAACAAAACAAAACAAAACAAAAAATCAAGGGTGTTTAGAGAAACCAAGGGGAAAAATTTTTGTACTCCTGAATATTATGATTTTTTTGATGCTTCACCTTGCCTAGCCTATAACCACCAGTTAATCAAATGCTAATCTACATGTTGATGTGAAGGCATTTTGTGGCTGAACATTAAAATCTATAATCACTGGACTTTAAGAACTATGTACAGAGGATGAGGCAGAAGAGATTCAAAGCATGAGAAAGACTCAACCTGCTGTTGCTAATCTAATAAAGGGAGCCATGAGCCAGGGAACAGAGGTGGCCTTTAGAGACCAAGAACAATGGGGCCAGCAAGTGGTGTGGTGGGTAAGGGTGTTGGATTCCCAAATGGCCAACTATAGTTCAAGTCCCAGACCTGGCAGCTTGCTTTCTCACTTTCTCTCTCTTTCTCTCGTGTGCTCTCTCTCTGTCCCTCTAGTCAAATTAAAATAAATAAATAAACAAAGTTAAATAAAATAATTCTCAAAAAAGAAAAGAAACCAAGAACAACTTCCTATTGACAGCAAATAAGGAGAAGAGCTCCTACAATCACGTGAGATTAAGTTCTTGAACAATCGGAATAAGTCCGATTTTTCCTTAGCCCCTACAGAAAGGAAAACCCCTACCAATAGTTTACCCAGGTGAGATTCTAAGCCAAAGGAACCAGCTGAGCCTTGCAGTACCCAGACTTCTGACCTAAAGAACTATGAAATAAGCACTGGGCTAGGCAAAGAGTACTTAAATGCAACAACAAAAGTATTCTCCATAAAAGAAAAAAAAATGGAATTTTATCAAAATTTACAATTCTGTTCATCAAGAGACTACGGAAGTGATATATTTGGTAAAGGTCTAGACTATACAAAAAAATCCAGAGTAAAACAACAAAAGTCCCCCAAAATGAAAAAAGGACTTGAACAGGGGACCAGCAGGTGGCATGCTAGTTAAGGCACTGGATTCCTACATGGCCAACCATAGTTCAAGTCCTGGACCTGGCAGATTGAAAATCATGCCAGGCATGTGTGTGTGCACGTGGCCAAAATCCCAAGAGGAGAATATAGGAGAAGGGACTGTGGCATGGCCATCTGCCCTCGGGGATGATTTCTCTCTTTTCTTCTATCTCTCTCCAGGGAGCACAAATGTCCTATGATAAAATCTTTATGGGACTGGCAGATGGCGTGGTGGTTTAAGAGTGTTAAACTCCCACATGGCTGACGGTGGTTTGAGTCCCGGACCTGGTGACTTGCTTTCTCAATTTCTCTCTCTTGATCTCTCTCGCTCCATCCCTCTCCAATCAAATTTAAAATAAATAAATAAATAAATAAATAAAGTTAAATAAAATAATCCTTAAAAAAAAAATACCTTGGGAATCAGCAGTTAGCGTAATGGCTATGTCACTGGACTCCCACGTAGTCTACCGCGGTTCGCGTCCCAGACCCAGTGGCTTAGAACTCACGCCAGGCACATGTGTGTGTGTGCCCATGATCCCGAGAGGAGAATGGAGGAGAAGGGATTGCGGCATGACCATCCCCCCTGGGGGGTGATTTCTCGCTTTCTGTGTCTATGTCTCTCTGTCTGTCTGGTGAGCACACGTGCCCTATAGCGAAAACCTCTCAAAAAAAAAAAAAACCTTAAAAAAAAAAGATTTGAACAAACACTTCATTAAAGAAGACATACAAGTAGCCAATAAGTCACGATGAGTCATTAGGCAAATGCAAAAATTTGTTTTTCAATTTGTAATAGGGTGCATGTGCTCAACCGAGAGAGATAGAGGGAGAGAGAGAAAGAGTGAGAAAGCATCCTCCCTTGGGAGGATGGCCACACTAGAACCCCAGCTCCTCTATTCTCCTCTCAGGATTTTGGTCACGTCCGCACATGAGCCACACATTTTCCAAACTGCTCGTTCCATGCAGTCAGCCATGTGGAATCCAGCCACTCTAACCACCACACCAACAGCTGACCCCACAAATGCAAATTTAAAACACAGTAAAATACTACATACCTATTAGAATGGGTTTTTTAAATCAAACTGACCATAGCGAGTACAGACAAGGACGCGAAACAACTAGAATTCTCATACTTTGTTGGTGGACTATAAACAGCACAGCTACTTTGGAAAAAGTTTGGCAGTTTCTTATAAGTCAAACATACATTTATCATTTGACCTAGCAATCTCATTCCTAAGTATTTCGTCAAGAAAAATTAAAATTTATTTTCACACAGAGATTTTTATGTGACTGTTTATACATTATTCCGAATTGCCAATTAGGAAACAATATGGAAAACTGGAACAACCCAACTGTTTTTCAACTGATCAATAAAAAACTTGAAACATCTGGGGCCAGCAGGTGGCATGGTGGTTAAGAACACTGGACTCCCCCACCACCAACTGCGGTTCAAGTCCCAGACCTGGTAGCTTGTTTTTCACTTTCTCTCTGTCTCTCTTTTTCTCTCTTTCTCCCTCTTTGGTCAAATTAAAATAAATAAATAAAGTTAAATAAAATAATTCTTTAAAAAAAAGAGAGAGAAAAACTTTAAATACCTATACAATGAAATCCTAGTCAGACACAAAAAGGAATAAACTAGTGATACATCCATAACACATTGATAAATCTCAAATGCACAGCACTAAATCAAAGAAGCCAGACTCAAAAGGCTACAAACTTATGGTTTCACTTACATAAAATTCTGGAAAAGGCAAAACTGCAGGGACAGAAAATAGAGCAGTAGTTGCCAGGATCTGCAGATGGGGGAAGAGCTGACTATAAAGGGACATAGTACAATTTACAGAAGTGATGGAATTGTTCTATATCTTGATTGTGGTGGTGGTTACATGACTCTATGCACATGGCAATACTCATTAAACTGGGCACTAAAAGTAACTATTACTGGAAACAAATTACATTTTAACAAAGTTGACTTTATAAAAAAGGGCCTGTGTCAAAGCACAATGGTAATGCACTGCTCAAGAGAAGCCAAGAGCCCACGTGGCAACTGCAGTTCAAATCCTTGGCCAGTCAACCTGAAACATGTTGCACACACGTGCAAGTGCCCAGGACACAATGGGCTGGGGGACTGAAGAAGGTCACAGTATGACTAGATTTTGTCGAGGGTGTTCATACCTCATTCTCTTTCTCTCATGTGCATGCATATGTACTCTATCATGACTAAAGAAAAATAAGGGCCAGCCCCATGGCCTAGTGGTTGAGAGAACCAGATTCCACATGGCCAACTTTGAAGTTCAAGTCTCAAACCCAGCAGCTTAAAAATACACTGGGCAAGTGTGTGTGCGTGCCCCAAATCCCAACAGAATAGAGAAATGGAGAAGGGATTGTAGTGTGACGATACACAACCGAAGATACTTTTCTCCCTTTCCATTTCTGTCTGTCATTCTTGGGTGATGCACACGCACTCTGGCAAATTAATAAAAGAAAATAAGTAAGGGATCAGCAGATGGCATAATGGTTACGTTGCTGGACCTCTGGTTCAAGTCCTGGACCTGGAGGCTTGAAACTCATGCCAGCCACGTGTGCGTGCATGCCCAAGATCCTGAAAGGAGAATGGAGAAGGGATTGTGGTGTGGCCAGCCCCTCTAGGGAGGTGATTTCTCATTTTCTGTCTCTGTCTCTCTCTGTATCTTCAGCAAGTGCATGAGCCCTATAGCAAAAATCTCTCAAAAAAAAAAAAAAAAAAAAAAAGAAAAAGAAGAAAATAAAATAAATAAATAAAATGAGGGTGCAAGGCCTTGGAAAGAAAAAAAAAATGATCAAGATATAGTCACGGGGGACCAGCAGTTGGCGTAATGGCTATGTTGCTGGACTCCCACGTACTCAACCGCGGTTCACGTCCCGGACCCAGTAGCTTAAAACTCACGCTGGGCACGTGTGCATGCGTGCCCAAGATCCCGAGAGGAGAATGGAGGAGAAGGGACTGCGGCGTGACTATCCCCCCTGGGCGGTGATTTCTCGCTTTCTGTCTCTATGTCTCTCTCTGTCTGTCTGGTGAGCGCACGCGCCCTATAGCAAAAACCTCTCCAAAAAAAAAAAAAGATATAGCCACGGTAACACAGGTTGGTTGATGCTGCTTTGCAGCACTAGAGGCCTAGATCTGATAGTCAGCCCAGCCTAAAGTGCTGGGTGGGGTGGAATGCCTGTAGTCTCAGCTAGTAAGGAGACTAGAGCTTGAGGATCACAACATAGCAAGACCCTACTTAAAAAATAGTATGTTTACTTCTGCCTAAACTATGAACTTTCTAACCTAGTGATGTTTAAAAACAGAAATAAGAGAATAACAAAGAAAGAACAAGGAAGAAGGAATGAAAGCATTCAAAGATTGAAAGATGACATAAATGTAGAGCCAAGAATATATGGGAAGATGTATGGGTAAGCACTTACCCCAAAATACATCCCCAACAGGGTCTAAAAAAGAATCAGTACTCACGGGCCCATGCTCTGACCTCAGGTGATATGAAAGTCCAGCCTTTGATCTATATGGTTTTCCACAGTGGTGACATTTCAGGGCCATCTTCTCCAGTTCTGCAGCTCCTTTGCCACATTTTTTGACATGGTACAGATATCCCATAATGCTGGTGAAGCTACTGGAACAACTCTGAACAAAAGAAAAAGGCCTAAATTATAACTTTACGTCTTTTTACATAATCCCTCAATTTCTAAACAACTATAAAGCCCTCACCATCACAAAATACAAATAGGCCCTCTGATATCACAAGACCCTCGCCAACATTTCCCATTGGCACAACCTTTCCTTATCCCTGAACATCCTATCTATGACCAAGCATGATATCTCATCAGTTCAGTCAGCATTCAATAAACTACAACTGTACTCTGTGTCAGAGCTTCCTCCTTGGCCTGTGATCCAACCCCACCACATCATCAAATATCCAGCAACAACAGAGTTCATTACAGTGAGGTTCATGGATTCTCTCATCACATTAAAGAAGAGACGATAAAGAAACCCCTTTAAACAAAGGGAAAGGGAAAAGATATAAATTTTTGGAGATGAGAAAGAAAGAATTATTAATGTGCTCAAGAGACCTGGCAGTACAGGAGCCATCCTCATGCCCACAAGATGGCACTGACCTAGGAGGTCTATAAGGGAAAAGGAGGAGGAGAAATGGAAAAGAACAGAAAGACATTGACCTGAGATTCCAGGGAGAAGGCGTTGCTGTCCTGGGGCTCTTACCTCACGCATGCACCTGAGCTTTCCCAGTCTCTTCAAAACTATTCGGAGCCGTTCTCTCTCACTTGGCTCATCTACTTCATCTCCAGCCTTCAAGATGGGCTAGAAATCAAGAGAAATAAACAAGCAGATAATTCATGGACAAGACAGAAACAGGAGGAAAAAAATCACAGGCAGATCAAGGATTAGACTAACAGCTAAGCTGATGTTCATAAGGTTCAAGTTATAGAATTCCTTCCTGGATTTCTCTTTCTTCTCCTGGACAAAGAAAAGGAGTATAATGGAAATCAGAGTTCTGAGCAACTTACCTTCCAGGACATGAACCACTGAGGCTAACCTAAGCAAACAGATACCTTTGGATTCACCACAAGAGTTTCATTATGTTTAACTCTTCTATCAAAAGGGTCTTCTTACATTTACTCCTAAAAAGTCCCAAAGCTTCCACAAAAAGAATTTCATTATACTTAAGTCTTCTATCAAAAATGTCTTGTTATACTTCTAAAAAGTTCCAAAGCTTTAGCCATCTGCACTGAGATGTTTACACTCACCTAAGTCAAGAATCCAAATACCACATATACTTGCAATGTACAAGAGATACTCTTACCAAACTATTATGATTTGCCATGACGTGATACTTCATCCCTGCCATTGAACGAAGTTGTTTCCCACAATGATGACAAGTAAACAGTTCCTAAAAGGAGAAAACACCACTCAGGGCCAGGCTGCTCAACAAAGAAACAGAATGTCCTAAAATCCTATTCAAGCGCTCTCACTTGGATTTCCTTTATTTCCCAAACTCAACAATGAAAGTTGAAGTCCCATAAGAGACAAAGTAAAGGAAACTAATTTTTTAAATAAGTTCTCCCATTTACTGAATGCCGACATTTGCAAGCAATGGGCCAGGCACTTAGCATGTTACTTCTTTCTTATCTTCTACAAAGGTAGTTGTTATTTTTTCTCCATTTTACAAATGAAGAAACCAAGTTCCACACATAACAAACTAAATACTACAATTAATACTTAGCTAAGTAAGGAACTGAAATCAAGTCTGTCCAATCCAAAGCTAGGTTTTCTCTATTACACAACGATACCTCACATCACAATAATCCACATACCTGACAGTTCCAGAAGTCTAACACGTGGGTAAAAATGTCATAGCAGCTATGAAGCACCACCAAATATCTAACCTGTTTGCAGTTTTCCATGTGTTTCTTTAAACCCTCTATGGTCTTCCTCCCCACTGCCTGGCAGGTAGGACAGGAGACACTGCCTTTATCCACGATTTCCAAATACCATTGCTCCTCCAAACTGCCTACAAAGGAGAGAGGGAGGGACACTTGATAACCTGCAGCATTCTCCATAAAACAAAGCAACTTAGAGAAAGTATCATAAAATGACTTTTCCCTTTCCTGATAGACAATAATGAAGAGACACTTGCTGTGTATAACTTCTAAGAAGTCATTTTTTCAGATGGTGAAAAGTTCCTGAAATGCCTACTCATTTCCCCATGAAGAAAACCATCTGAGAACCACTTCAAAGCCAGGTGGTTTAAAGAACTGGACAGCATTTTTCATAGCAGGATATAAGAAGGGCTACTGAGATACGGACGCACCAATTCTCTTAGAGCTCCCTATATGCCTAAGACTTTGCTAAATGTTTTTATCCGATGTAATTTTCACAACAGTTCTGATTACCTTATTATCTCTATGTATAGACAGGGAAACTGATGCTTGCAGAAGCGAAACAATGTAGGTGAGTTTGAAAGTTAATGAAGAGCCAAAACTTGGACAAGTCTATCTGACCTCCAAACCCAAGCCCTTAATAACTTGCCTCCTTAAGGAAATGCTTTAGTACATCATTCCTTCATTGACAACAACAAATCAGAGTGGAACAACTAGATCCGACAAGGCTTCCAAGAGAAAGCATACCTGCTGCATAAACTGGTGGTTCCTTCCGAATACGACGAGCCTGGGATTTGGGATTAGGCTGAGTTTTAGGCCGTTGCTTCCTCCCTGACGCAAGACAGAAACTTGAAGCCCAATATATCACCTTTGCTAACCCCTTTCTAATACCAAATCTTTGCCCTCCCCTTCTCAACACCCTATGCCCCACTCCCTCAAACAACTGACTCCCTTAAGTCATGACATAATGAGAGGTAAAATAAGGCAGTATGAGGACCATTCCCTCTCAAAACAACTCAAAGGGCTCAAAAGTCATTCGAGGGCCAAAACCTAAAGTCTCTCTTCCCTTTGCCCTCATGGGATAAAGCCCAGTCACCCAAGAAAGAAGAAATCGCAAAGTTATTTACCATAAAGCTTATGCTTCTTCTGAGGGAATTCTCGATAGTCTTCATCTTCTTCCTGCCGGGGTTTCTTTTTTCCTTTGTTTGATGCTCCACCTGACCCTACGGTAGCATACATTAACTAAACTCAGTACACTTTTTAATGAACATCCACATCTGCCTTCAAAACATCATTCACAAGGCCATCAAAGGAAAAGATCACAAAAGGAAAGATAACCAGTGAACAGGGCCTCACAGGAATGTTGTGACATTCTGGGAGGAGTTGATGGAACTTCTTATTAAATGATCCAACCTCTTTTTTTCCTTTTGTTTTTTAAAGTTTTTGTCATAGAGCAAGACACAGTGACAGTGAGAGGGAAAGTGAGAAATCACCCACCAGGGGGAATGGTGGTGACACCACAATCCCTTCTCCTTCATTCTCTTCCCAGGATTTTGGTCACGCACACATGCCCAACATGACTTTCAAGCTACTAAGTCCAAGACTTGAATCAGTTGGCCCAGTGGGATTCCAGCACCTTAACCACCACGACTGCTGCTCCCCCCGCCTCCCCCGCTTTTCCTTCTGTATTGTTCTTTTTCCCAAATCATTAACCATTCCCTATAATCGATAAGGGCCTTCAGGCAATGTGCTCTGCTTGATCTGGATTTGAGGCTAACACTGAAGCAAAATGCTCAAAATAAAAGCTACCAAGGATTCTCAATACTGTAAGCATCTAGAATATTCTACCATGAATAACCCTACACAAGTCTCTAAACCTTCAACAGAGGATCAAACTAGAATAAAGAGGGAAAAGTTCCGATCATATGAAGAGAAAAGGCAGATAACAAATATTGGGCTATTGGAAAAGTCATGCATTTTTGCACAGAAAGAAATACATTATGACTTTTCTGACAACCTAATATAACCTAGAGGAGTTAAGATTGGCAGAATTTCATTCCATTAAACAGAGGGACAGTTCATAAAGCTAACAATATGCAATAACCTAATACCTTAACATTATTATTATTTTTTTTTTTTTGGAGAGATTTTCACTGTAGGGCGCGTGCGCTCACCAGACAGACAGAGAGAGACATAGAGACAGAAAGCGAGAAATCACCCCCCAGGGGGGATGGTCACGCCGCAATCCCTTCTCCTCCATTCTCCTCTCGGGATCTTGGGCACGCACGCACAAGCGCCCGGCGTGAGTTTTAAGCCACCGGGTCCGGGACACGAACCGCGGTCGACTACGTGGGAGTCCAGCGACATAGCCATTACGCTAACTGCTGGTTCCCAACATTATTATTTTTTAATAGTTTGCTATAGAGCACGTGCTCTCACCAGACAAAGAGAGAGAAGGAAGTCACCCCCAGGGATGATGGCCACACCTCAACATTACAATCCCTCTCCATTCTCCTTTTGGGATTTTGGGCAAGTACATACACACACCTAGTGTGTTTTTTGAACTGCAGATCTAAGAGTCAAACCACACAACTGACCATGCGGGATCCAGCCATTTAACCACTATGCCACTGGCTGGCCCAACCTTAAAATTATTTTAATCACTAATAAAAAATACTTATGCAACATTTAATACTCTAAGGCCCATTGACAACAGCTACCTCAAAATATAACTTCAGAGAATACTCTGTTTTGGGAATAAGTCACTGATTCTGATACCTTCCACATGAGAAGTAGCAGCTGGCTTGATCCTTCTCATCTTCATCCAGTAGGTAGATTTTCGAAAGGAGGCTGGAAAATCACTCACTGGTTCACATGAAGAGGCAGATGATGAGCCACTCAAGGAGTCATCATGAGGGACAGTATACTGGAAACTATTATCCTTTATGGAGCAGTGGGTCCTGCTACTAATACAACACAAAGATATATACCACAGACGGTCTAAAGTAAAACACCTAATCATGAAAGAGAGAGAGAGGAAGACAGCCCCCTCAACAGGGTACCTTCATGCTGCAACCCTGACCCTCCCAGCCCTCCAGCACCCACATACACACTCAGCATATTTTCAAACCAAACCCGCAGATGCCACATGACTTCCAACACTGCAGTCTACTATACAATGGTCTATGCTACCCATATATTTAAAATTTTACACATTTCTGTGAATGTAAATGTTTTCTATGCACTCTTGTTAAAAATTTGTGTATTTAAAAGTTAATCCTGGGGCCAGCAGGTAGCATGATGGTTAAAGCCCTGGACTCCCATGTAGTTGACTGCAGTTTGAGTCCCAGATCCAGCAGCTTGAAACATGCTAGGTTTGTGTGTGTGCATGCTTAAAATCCCAAGAGGAGAGTGGAGGAGAAGGGACTGCAGCACGGCCATCCTTCTCAGGGAGTGATTTCTCACTTTCTGACTCTCTGTCTCTTTCTGTCTCTCTGAAGGTCGCATACGCCCTATAGCAAAATTCTAACACAAAAAAATTTTTAAGTTAATCCTTCAAGGACATCACTGCCATCCTGCATATGGATGACCTTTCTGAGGAAGATAAGCTGGCTATGTCCCATCTGGAGAAAATACAACATTTCTTGTCTCACCTATTCCAGGTTGCTGAGGTTGTTACAGGACATGTGGGGAAACTGGTACCCCTGAAGGAGACCATCAAAGGATTCCAGCAAATTTTGGCAGGTGACTATGACCATCTCCCAGAACAGGCCTACTACAGGTGGGACTCATTGAAGAAGCTGTGACTAAGGCAGATAAGCTGGCTGAAGAGTATTCATCGTGAGAGGTCCTTTGGCAAACTAAGCACACACACTCTGCTGTTCTTTTCCTTTCACCTAATCTAAAGCATTTTTATTTCTGTGTAGGCCACACAAGAGACTTAATTGAAGACATTATGTCTGAAGCATATTTAAGGTTTCTAATAAAATGTATACCCCCTCCAAAAAAAACCTAATTATTCTTCTATAGCATAAGAAAATAACCAAGTCCTTGGCCTGTGTGGAAAACTAAGAAGCCTGATATAAAATAATTACAATAGTTGATCTAACATGAAATGTACAATTATTATACTTTATTGGAACCAGAAGAGTAAGCAATCCACATAAATGATCATGTTGCAGCTTAAGCAGGCATTCCTTCCTTGATTTATTTAAGAAAATAAGGTGTTCTGTGACCTTCAGAAGAGTCCCTGGATCTATAACCAAGTATTTCTGAGCCTCCTTACTTCTCTGACATCGGAACAGTCACTAAAGGATATCTCTATATCATATCTGTCATATTGCCTAAGTAAAACAGGGCAGCCTTGGTATCAGGTTTAGGGAGGAGGCTGAGAAAGAAGGAGGATAGATCAGTTTAGGACTTAAAAATAGTTCTTTTCCTCTCTAAAGGAAGGATGTTATCTTGTCTGAGTTAAGCTAGCCAGAGAATTCTGGTATATAGCTAGATCCAGCTTCCCAAATCTAATTCCAGTTAGTTAAGCAGTTAACAAACATTTCTGAGTAACTATAAAGTACCAGTCATTTTTCTAGATAGCTCAAGATGTAGGAGAACAGTGTTTCTCAAAAGTGTGGTCCATGGACCCCTTAAGACCTCCATTCTCTAACTAAATAAATAGATAAGGCCCGTTTTGGATTTACGGTTTAGAAAAGTCATTCTGGCTGCAGTAAGGATAATGGCCAATGGGGGAAAGGAATAAACAAAGGGAGAAAAGTTTGCTTGTTGCAACAGTATGAATAAGAAAAAATATGGACTCGAAGTAAGGTTTTGTAATAGAGATGCTAAGTGGGCAGATTCCAAATAACACTTAAAAACTAGAGCTGATAAGAATTACACACAGAGGTTTGTTTGTGACAGCAGAAAGTTGAAAGTGATCATTCTCAGTAAAATATGTATGTACATATGATAGATGCCTACCATGGAATACCATTTAGTTGTTAGAAGCAATAAACCAATTCTACAGAGACATGAACATAACTAAAAAGCATATGCTGAATAAAAAAGAAACAGAACGGCCTCTCTAGTACAATGACATTTCAGTAAATTAAAAACCAGTACACATGCAGGGACCAGCAGTTGGCATAATGGCTATGTCACTGGACTCCCACATAGTCGATCGTGGTTCGAGCCCCCGACCTGGTGGTTTAAATTCCCACCAGGCGTGTGTGCATGCATGCCCAAGATCCCAAGAGGAGAATGGAGGAGAAGGGATTGTGGTGTGGCCATCCCCCCTAGGGGGTGATTTCTTGTTTTCTGTCTCTCCCTGTCTTTCTGGCAAGCGCACGTGCCCTTTAGCACAAAACCTCTCCAAATAAATAAATTAATTAAAATTTAAAGAAAAACAGTACACATGGAAAGCTGTGCTACTTATTTTAAAAGGGCAAAGGGCTATGTGGAGACATAGTGGGAATGCAACTGGACCCATATGAGGTGAGGAATTAGGGGTGTCCTGGACATCCCTAAGCATGTTGGGCACATGTACATATGTTCATGATCTGGACTAGATGAGACTGAGTGAGTGGAGCACAGCATGGATACCCTTCTGGGGCTACCCATCTCCTATTTCTTTTTCTTCTAATAAGGAAGAAATAAAAAATTAAAATTAAGATTAAAGGAATTCATAAATATTTAGGACAAACATCACACATTTATTAACATGGCTTCTCCAGAAGGGAGAGAGGGACTGGAAATGCAGATAAGCGAAAATAACAGACTGATGAAGTCAGTATGCTATAGGCAGAGAAGACTGGTTTTGAGCTCTCTGCTTGTAAGATCCAATATTACTAATTTAAGACACAGAAGTCCTGGTTTTGCTGATGTGGCATAAGCCCACTATGGCTCATCTCTCTTGCTGATTACAACTTAAAAATTCTGAACTCTTGCAGGTGAACAAAAGCAGATAAAATCAAAACCAGGAGAACTGACACACCTCCAGCGTTAGTTTCCCAGTTATGTTTTTTGCCTTTATGTGTGGTTTTGTCACAGGGTGGGCCTCACTTGCAGAGCAGCACAGGCAGCATAAGTTCCCATAGAAACATAATGTTTCTGGCCAGAGACATCAGAAAGAGAGATAACTATGCACCAAAGAGTGTGAGGAAACCTGCAGAAAGGCAGGCAAAGAAGGGGATATTATAATTCAGTGTATGAATCCAAACAAGCCAGAGTTACCCTGAGCAATGTATGTGTGGGGCATACCCAAACCAGCCTAGCAAAGACTTTGAAAACTGACATATGATCTGAACTAATGTGAAACCCAAACCAATGTACAAAAAAACTGGAGAGCTAAAGTGCAAGACCTGAAAAATCTACAAAAATCTCAGACTAGGCCTTGACCTATTCATGCATGGATGGGACAAGCCAAATCACCATAGCAAGAATAGAAGATATAAAAGAACGGAACTAAGATTCTAATGACTGCCAGCAGAATGCAAGACAGAACTTATGGTCTGAACCTAAACAGGTTGCCCACTAAAACAAAACCAGGAGCATTTCCCAGAAAAATATAACATGACTCACAGTCTATACAAAATAATACTCACAATGTTAAGGATAAATGCCAAAATTAGGCAACACACAAAGAACCAGGAAAATGTGTGCAATTCTTGAAGAAACAAATGATCAAAAGATACCCACTTCAAGATGATCCAGATGTTGGAATTATCAAACACTTTGAAGTAGCTATTATAGCTACTTATAAAGGAAAACACTTATGAAAAGAAGGAAAAAGTAGTCTTCATTAGCAGAGAAGCAGAAATCACAAAGAAAGAACCACGTTGAATTTTAAAACGGAAAACTACAGTATCTGAAATAAAAAACTCACTGGATGAGTTCAGCAGTATTATAGGATGGAAATGACAACAAAGAGTCTATGACCTTGGGCCAGCAGGTGATGCAATGGCCAAGCGCTGGACTCTCACATGACCAGCTACAGTTTGAGTCCCAGACCTAGCGGCTGGCTCGTTTGCGCTCTCTCTCTCTCTCTCTCTCTCTTTCTCTCTCTTTCTCTCTCTCTCTCTCTTTGGTGAGTGCAAGTGTCCTATAGCAAAAATTAAATAGAAATAATAATAAAATTTAAAATATATATATATATTTTTTTTACAAAAAACTGTGACTTTGAAGATAGAGCAATAGATATTCTGATCTAAAGTACAAAGAGGGAAAAAGCAGTCAACAGAGCCTAGGCAACCTGTGCATCAGTATCAAAAGTTCTAATTTGAATGCAGTTGCAAGCCCAGAGGTGAAGAGAACAATACTGAGATAGAAAAATATGTTGGGAGGCCAGCAGGTGGTGTGGTGGTTAAAGGCACTGGACTCTCACATGGCCAACTAGGGTTTAAGCCCCAGACCTGGCAGCTTGCTTTCTCACTTTCTCTCTCTTTCTCTCTCTGTCCTTCTCTGGTCAAATTAAAATAAATAAGTAAATAAATAAAGTTAAATAAAGTAATTCTTAAAAAAAAGAAAAATACATCAAAAAAAGGGTGAAAAATTCCCCAAATTTGGTAAAAGACATAAATTAATAGATTCAAAGAGTTCAACTAACCCAAAGAAAAATATACCTAGACACATCATAATAACAATATTCAAAATAGAAGGGACCAGCAGTTAGCGTAATGGCTATGTCGCTGGACTCCCATGTAGTCAACTGTGGTTCGAGTCCCAGACCTGGTGACTTAAAACTCATGCCAGGCGCGTATGCGTGTTCCCGAGAGGAGAATGGCGGAGAAAGGACTGCAGCATGTCCATGCCCCCTGGGGAGTGATTTCTCACCTTCTCTGTTTCTCTCTGTCTTTCTGGTGAGCGCATGCGCCCTATAGCAAAAACATCTCAAAGAAAAAAAAAATTCAAAATCGAAGATTAAAAAAAATCTAGGTCTAGTCACTATTACATAGCAGTAATATAATTGCTCAGT